TGATCTGAGGAGGAGGTTTGATCTGGGGAGGAGCGGATCAGCAGAGCTTAATAAAAAAACTTTGCAAAAGTGATGGTCTTTACCTCACCTCTTTCAAAGAATTGGTTTAAGCCTCAGATTTCTGGAGAACAAGATGCGAAATTTGCAGGTAAAGAGGCATAGGGCTGCTTGTGCTCCACGCCCCCTCATCTCTTTGCTCCTCTGGGGACCAGAAAGAAAATGGGGCCTGTCCACTGCCACCCATGGGGCTTTATTGACAAAACTCTTATCTCCTCAGTGGCAGTGAAAAATTTGGATGCAACGTTGTTCTTCAAATAAAAATAGCAATTATTTGTCCCAAGTATACTTTTATGCATTATAAAAGCTCTAGCTGTAAGCTGCATATAGTCTGGTATATGGGATTTGGTGCTCCGAGACTCATCCTCAGCTGGTGCTCAGAAGCCATGAGGCTTGCAGGGCAGTTGGACTGAGAATTAGAGGGTAGGTTCTGCCTCCTGTTAGCTGGGTAGCTTTGGGCAAGTCACCCAAACTCTGCACCTATGTTTTCTCTCCTCTGTAAAGTAAGGGTACTGATACATGCCCTGTGAAAAATGAACAAATGGACGGACGCCTGCTGAGCTACAGGTTAAGGTTTGGAAATTTGACATCATTATCTGTCTTAGAAGGTTGGTAGTAGTATTTTTCGTTTAACTGGGGAACTGTGTTTTTCCAGGACCCATCAGCTCCAAGTCAAGTAGTTGTTTCAATCTAGTTGTGGAGGGCGCAGCTCAGTGGCCCATGCGGAATCGGCAACCTTGGTGTTAATGAGCACTGGGCTCCAACCAACTGAGCTAACCGGCCACCCCAGAAGTAGCATTTTTATCCCATTTTAACAGGGGATACTGCAGCTCACCTGCATCAGGGACTTGTCCTAAATCTCAATGCCGCAGGTGGCAGCATGGGACTGAGAACCCAGGTCTTCCGATACCCGTCCTCATGACCTGTCCAGTCCAGCTTGTCCCAGCTTGATGGGGGATTAGCATCGAGCAAAATATTTATAAATAAGTAAATAATGAGTGTGAAAGGGCTTTGCAAGTGGAAAGCACCACAAAGTTATAAAGGTTGTTTTGTGTCCCGGGATCCTGAGATATTATTTTTTCTGAGTCTTGCTCAGAGAGCTTGTTGTTAGTTTACTGTTAAAGTTGTTGTGTTTAGGAGAAGGAAAAGAATTATGAGGACTTCAGGAATGATAGAGATGGCATGTTATTTTTGCATTGAGCTTGTTTTTATCACTACCAAAGTAGCTTTTATATTTATTTTTCTTGCATGGACGTCTTTAATTATACATGTTCATGGCAGAAATATTAAGAAATAGAGATAAACCCCCAAAAGGGAAGCAGCTGGCTATTATCCATAAACCACCACACGGCAATCATAGCTGTTGACATGGCTGTCAGTATTCCTACATCTCCATCACAAATAGCGGAACTTAGGGTTCATTCTGCTTGGTAGTCAAAAATGACTGTGCAGTATTTCATGAGCATTCAATTATTTTAAAAAGTAATAAAGAGGGACTTTGACCTTGAAGCTGGGAAAGAGAAGGAAGAAAACCTTTTCCTCTAGATCACACCTGTAACTTCAGTCACTTGGAATGTATTCCTGAGAGCCAAGCCTCACACCCAGTTGCATGATAAGGAAGCCATCAAGATAAAGAGCAGCTCTGGTTGTCACTCAGCTGTGATTTAGAGTAGCAAGTCAGGCAACCTCTGTCCACAGGGGTTTCTGTTTCTGGTGGCTTGTCCAGAGCACCTTGGGTGAATACTAATGGAAGACCACATGAGTGCTGTGCAGTTTGTGACACAGGTATATCCAGAAGGAGCTAAGTCTCTCAGTGCAGACAACTGAATGGCGTCATTATGGTGTCACCAAACTGCAGCTGCACTGGCCTCCTTTCTCTCCCTGCTGAAGCCAAACCTGAGGGTGTTGTAGTTAACAGGTTCCTCTTCCCAGAACAGTTACCCCAGCTCTTCGAAGTTACTTCCTTTGAGGTCTTCCCTGGCTGCTTCATTGGAAGTGGGCTTGCCCTGCCCCACCACCCAATAACTCACATGGCATCACCATCTTTATTTCCTCCGTGGCAATTGTCTTACCAACTAAGCTTTTTAAAAATTACTGAACAGTTTTGCAAAAACATTCATATTTGGTTAAATATAAGATGAAATGTTAAGTAAAATGTGGCCATGTAATATGTAAAAATAAGTAGAATTTAACAATACTCAAAAGTAGGGTACAGCATAGGTTGTTGAGGAAAATTTAGAATTCAGGGTCTTTCAACTCTAGTTGCTTGGTCCACCAATGATGATAGTCTTGTCTTGGTTGACACTGGTTGTCACATTAGCAAATATTCACATTTATCACTAAAGCAAAGAGATGGAAGAGCAGAGATTGAAATATTTTTGATTCCAGAGACCTGAAAATATACACCTTATATATGTGTTTATTTAAATATACATCTTAAAACATCTAAAAGTGACATTATGGGGCCCCTGTGGTATAGTTTATATCTTTTAGGAAACAGCATCATTTCTGAAAAGCCCTGTGATAAAATAATAATTGATCTGTTATGAGGTTGGTCTGGAAGAGTGCAGTCCAAGTTGTCAGCTGCAGGAACCTTGCATCTGATTTTTCTTGTGTGTACTCCTCCCTTAGGTCATCACTTCCCTTGCTGGTTATAGTTACAGGCAGCTGCTCAGCTAAGGTTTGGTGATGGTGGTGGTGGTGGTGGTGGCGGTGGCGGTGGCGGTGGGTGTCTGTGCTCCCGTTCTGTTGTTTGTTTTTACCTCATGGTCTTAATTCACCCGAAGTTTTAAGCTTCAGTGAAGGTGAAAAGGAAGTGTGACTT